GCCGATTAGCAACTAAAATAAATACATCGTACTTAAGTGCATTATAGTAGTAAGATGTTCATCACCCAGCAGATACCAGTGATTGATGAAGGGGCTCGAAAAGGTGAAGGAGTAATTTCTTCCCAAGTCGGTAAAAAAGTGATTTCAAGTAACAGAACAGAGCCCCAGTCAATGAGAGTATGCGTTAGCATTTTGCTGGCATAAAGGCCATAATAGCCCAAATACCTCATTGTTGGAGAAAAATGTCAAGACACACTGTTGCTGCCCTAACAACTCCATGAAGGCGCAATTGGAGGAAAAAAGGCAGTGCTTAGTAGTAAGTCGACCGCAGTCTAGCATTTCATATAAGGGGCATTCGAAAGGTTCCTTTTCAGTTCCACACCTCCATTTGAGACGATGGAGGAGAGAGAAAAAAGTATACTCCGTTTTGAAGGAGGTCATTTACCAGGGTTGGCTCAATTGCTATAAAAAGGCTCAGACATAATATAAGCTGGGAAATGTGAAGCATCAAGCATTACCTCCTTCAAAATCAGTACTGTCGTCAACAGAAGCAACTGTACCCTCCCCGTTTGGAGCATTATTGAGACCGGACTTGGGGCGCTCAAGTCCATCATTCAAGCGACTCCGTCTGAAAGTTAAAAGAGTAATACTAAGACGAGCCTATCAGCATCCCCTGCATATGACGCTCTAATTCCTTCATTAAACCCTGAAAACCATGAAGTTGACGTGGAATGATGATGCTCCGCAAGCAAATAGTTTATTCATTCACAGTTACACTGTGATGATGAGACGCTCAAGCAGTGTCGATGCTCCTCTCGAATGTAAGGTCAAGTGAAGAGTTACGATATGTGATCGTATGAAGCGACAGATGTGCGGTGAGAAATGAGGGCCGTTTTACCGAGAGGCGCCGAAACGTAATGACGATTGCATCAAATTTCACAAACATACGGAAAGTATGACTAAGATTGGCTAGGGGATTGAGGCTCCGAAAGGTGGCATCCCTAGAGGCGTTCCTTCCCACAAGAGTACCGCTTCGAATGGGACATTCCGTTAACAAAAGTCGTCAGAAAAGTTGGTGTTACAATCACGTTTACCAACAGCCCCTTCATCTAGTCTCCATTTTGAAAGCAGGACAGTCATTCACACTCACCTCTCATCAAGGGCCTAAAATTACCACAACTACTCGGCTTATCAAAGGCGCTACATCCAATGTTAAGTGAGTCATGACAGGGGTCAAACTCCCATGGGCTTAGACGGTGATTGGGCGGCAGATTGGGCTACGATGTATTACGACCTTTCTAAATGTCAGGCTACACACATGTGATGCAAAACTCGTCTTTCAGTTTCACGAATTGAGAGAAACAGACTTCCAGCCCATCCACCAAGTTCACCGGACACAATGAACTAAACCAGTGACATCTTACAATAGAAAAAAAAAGTTGCTGATGGAGTGATACATGTCTGTTGGCCACCCACAGCACTAGTTAGCTATGCACCAATGCAGACACAAAGCCCAGAACACAATCACGAATAATTAGGTTGATATGAAAATGATGGAAGAGGAATTGGGTGCAAGCATCATCACTAAAACACTGAATTACAATATTTGAGAAAGAGAAAAGTCTAAAACCTGCGTGAGTTGTAAAGTAGAAGGTGTAGGAGAAAAGTGTATTAAAGTAACCAAGTAAACCAACAGATAAGAGTTGAGATAAAGCAATTTAACGCCATTACTTCAGGCAAGCCTATCAACTTCACGTATTAGTGACTCACGTTGCACTGAGGTCAGGTCAGTAGACTGCGCAATCAAACTGTAAAGGATGAGGAGAGAATTAGTCTGCTTACTGTGAATGCTTGCTTGATGAGGCGAGAGGCATGAGATGAACCTGAGGTTGCATACTAACTCTCGGAGTGGGATTTAGAGAACACTGTGATCGTGTCGGAGTTGAGTGATCACGAAAGCTTGCAACAGAGCCCGAGACACGTGGCTGATGTGATCGTTTGGACAAGAGTGCCGGCACACAGGTATCCAGAGAAGCAGATGTGAGTTTTCGACCACGAAGAGTGTTGGAGAAGGTGTTACCGGGAGTAGTGGATGAGGCAGGTGGAAGTGTTGAGTCCTCGCATCCAACCTTGGCCCGAATACGCAGATGATCGATGGTCATTTCAGCGGCTGCATGCTTAGCCAGAAGATTGTCGTAGTAGCGCTGCAGTTGTTGGATGTAGTCTTCCTGATGCTTACGTGTTGCCTTCTCCTACAAATTGGAACAATCATGCAAACGAGGAGGGAGATGCAAGCGTTATTCCTGTCATACTTCAAGTGTCTAGTGTTTTGAACGTCATCAAAATGGCGACTCGACTCGTTTTGACGCT